CACATCAATTTTAACAGCATCTGTACAAGTGTAGTCTGAAATATAAAACTACAAAGTGTATATTGTCTATACTTTGCTATTTGTTGCAAGGAGGCCAATTGCTGGGAGGCAGATATTTTTCCCTTGTTTTCCTCCCCAAAATCTAGGTGCGTCTTATACTTTGGAGCGTCTTATACTCCGAAAAATATGGTAATAGGGCTTTTCCTGTCTCAGTACTCATTGATGCTCTCTTGGTTCTTTTCTTGCAGACATTTCATTATCCAACTAGTTAATATCATCAGTGGAAGAAAAATTGTTCCCTGGTAGAACTGTACTTACAAGCAAATTTTTCCCATTTGGGTGCTTTCTGAATTCTTTGATTCCCATATGGGTACCAATAAAGGAGGCGGTGGCTCAGGGGCTAAGATGCTGAGCTTGTCGACCAGAAAGGTCGGCGGTTCGGTGGTTCAAATCCCTAGCGCCACGTAATGGAGTGAGATCCCGTTACTTGTCTCGGCTTCTGCCAACCTAGCAGTTCGAAAACATGTAAAAATGCAAGTAGAAAAATAGGAACCACCTTTGTTGGGAAGGCAACAGCGTTCCGTGCGCCTTCGGCATTTAGTCATGCCAGCCACATGACCAGGGAGACGTCTTCGGACAGCGCTGCCTCTTCGGCTTTGAAACGGAGATGAGTACTTTTACCTTTAAAGGAGAATATTTGTAGTTTAGGGTTAAGAGGAGGAGTCCTTACCAATTTTGGGTAATGAAATGTCGGCAAGGATACAACCAAGCTCAGAGGGCAATAAGGACTCCTCATTTCAACTCCAAGCTACAAATATTCTACTTTATTGCTTTATTCTGTCTGGTAGCATAGTTTGGGATCTTGACTGAGAAATGTCCTTTAAAAAAAAAAAAAAAAGTCAACACTGAATAAGAATATGGAACACAATTTATCGGCCCACAGTAATTTTACATTCCTGATTCCGTTTTAGGATGCTCATATACTTTTTCTTGCAAATCATCAATGGACGAAAAACAATGGTTAAACTGCTTGAAGAGCAAATTGCTAATGTAAGTATTTTCTCAGGGAACTCCGGTCACTCTGGAATAGTGGGATCTAGTCAAACTAGCTCAAATTACAGGAGGGCGGTGTCAAACACCAGGGAAATTAGGCATTCCAGGCAGTTCAAATGGGTGTAAAGATTTATTGTAAGCTTAACAAGAATCTGAACTACTGATGGTCAAGGGAAATTAGCGGGGGATAAGAATAGAAAGGAATTCAAAGGGGGGGCTGGACTTAAAGAGACTCATGACTGATGACGCGCTTGGCCCCTCCCACATATTCAGCCTGGTCATCTTCCACAGGTAGCTCATTGTTGAATATCAGGAGAAACAATTTGAGAGATTTGACCACAGTAGCTGCTTCTATAAGGATGCCTGGGTCAGATTTTCTAAAGGTGCCCTAACTGATTCATAATTATCGAGTCACGTTTTTAATACAAAACCAGTGATTTATTAGGTGCTCCATTAGGTAATATCTGTTCACAGTCAAGCCTGTGCTTTGATTTACTTCTGAACTTTACCCCTGTTCCTCCCCTCAGTCTGTGTCATAAATCACGTTACCCTATAGTTAGTTGCACCCTTCCCAAACTGGCTGCAGTAATCTGAGATCCGACTCAGGCCAACAGTATACATGGAATGCACTCCCACTTATTCTGTCCCCATGACAACACGGAGAGTCGATTCTGTGTGTGTGTGTGTGTGTGCGCGCGTGTGTGTGTGTGCTTTATCACTGAAGTTAATTCCTTTAACTCACCATCCCTTCTTATTTGATTTTCTATAGGCAGGCAAAGATAAAATTTTTCTACTGAAGAAATTACATGAGCTTCAAGCTTCTAAGTTTCCAAGGCAACAGGAGGTTAGTTTTGCAGATTTAAACCTTTTGAAGACCAGGTGTATCCATTGCATATGCTGTTTGTTTAATAATGGTTTACTGAAAAGGCGCAATAGGCTGGAGTATGCCAACAGCTGTTAAGCCAGGCCTCATAAACCTTAGGGACTAAGGCCCATATCAAGCAAACTCTCTAATGGCTTAGCATGTGTGAACCAGTCCAGGATTATTCATTTTTATTTGGGAAACAGCAGATTGGAAAAGACCTTTCGCCAATTGTTGGGAGAGAGCGGGAAGACAACATATGTTTTCATATTCATGTTTTGTGTTTGAGTCTTTTGGTTGGCAAGAATAATGTTCTCTGCAGAATATTAGGTATATCTAGAACATTTAGGTATGCCTACAAAGGTATTCCTAGAACTTTATTTGCCCTGCCCTTTAAATAGAGGGACGTGGTGGCTAAGACGCTGAAATTGTCGATCAGAAAAGTCAGCAGTTCGGTGGTTCGAATCCCTAACAGAGTGAGCTTCCGTTACTTGTCCCAGCTTCTGCCAACCTAGCAGTTCAAAAGCACTTAAAAATGCAAGTAGAGAAATAGGGAACACCTTTGGTGGGACGGTAACAGCATTCCGTGCACTTTTGGCATTTAGTCATGCTGGCCACAGGACCACAGAAACATCTTCGGACAGCGCTGGCTCTTTGGCTTTGAAATGGAGATGAGCACCGCCCCCTAGAGTCAGGAACGACTAGTACATATGTGCGAGGGGAACCTTTACCTTTAAGCAGTGGGAAATCACTAAATTTCTAACCCAAGAAGCAAACTTAGATAAAGTTTGAGGGAAGAGGGTGTGGGAAATTTGTGATTGCATTGTTCCAATATGATTTCAATCTAAAAAAACGGAATGGGGTGACCATTACTGTGTTTAACTAGTTCTGGAT